TTATCAGGGAAATGCAAATTAAAACCATAATGAGATATCACCTCACACCAGTTAGATGGCCAACATAGAAAAGACTAGGAACAACAAATGCTGGCAAGGATGCGGAGAAAAGGGAACCCTCCTTCCTACACTGCTGGTGGGAATTTAAACTAGTTCAACCATTGTGGAAAGCAGTATGGAGGTTCCTCAAAAAGCTAAAAATAGAAATACCATTTGATCCAGGAATTCCACTCCTAGGAGTTTACCCTAAGAATGCAGGGGCCCAGTTTGAAAAAGACATATGCACCCCTATGTTTATTGCAGCACTATTTACAATAGCCAAGAAATAGTCCATCAGTAGATGAATGGATAAAGAAGATGTGGTACATACACACAATGGAATATTACTCAGCCATAAGAAGAGGGCAAATCCTACCATTTGCAACCACATGGGTGGAGCTAGAGGGTATTATGCTCAGTGAAATAAGCCAGGCAGAGAAAGACAAGTACCAAATGATTTCACTCATCTGTGGAGTATAAGAACAAAGCAAAAACTGAAAGCACAAAACAGCAGCAGACTCACAGAACCCAAGAATGCACTAACAGTTACCAAAGGGAAAGGGACTGGGGAGGATGGGTGGGAAGGGCATTACGATTAGCACACATAATATAGGGGTGGGGCACGGGGAAGGTGGGAAAGCACAGAGAAGAGAAGTAGTGACTCTATAGCATCTTACTACACTGATGGGCACTGACTGTAATAACGTATGTGGTGGGGACTTGAAAATGGGGAGAATCTAGTAACCACAATGTCGGTCATGTAATTGTATATTGATGATTCCAAAAAAAAAAAAGTTTCCCCCTTCCTCTGACGCTGTCAGAGTCCATGAAATATTAAAAAGGAGTTACATGAATTTCAGGCATCTCTTTCTCAGCATTAGAAGCACTTTATGAATCACCTAATGTAATTTTCCAGATACAGAACTTAGAGAGTTTGTGTGTGTTGTGACTGAAATTGTATCTGAAGTCACAGGAACCGATTAGCATGCTATGGGGACTTTTCCCCTCTCATTTGTCCTGTGGGAGTAAGTTGGAGATCTCTACAGTGTTACCTTATTTAACTACATATTCCTGCATATGTTTGGAATGGAACACTTTTCCTTGATTATTTTCATTTTAGTTACTGTCTACTAACCTGCCACTGTGGATGATAACAACTGCAACACTCCAGATATACACTGTGATATAATGAGTTATAAGAAATATATTCATTCAGCAAATACTTTTTCAGGGCCTTGTACGTGCCAGGTGTTATTTTAGATTCTGGGGATGCAGCAAGGAACAAAACAAAGGCTCTGCCCTTGTGGAGTGCCCTTCTAGAGGGAGAAAATAGTCATAAGTAAATAAGTTAATGTACGTCAAACAGTGAAAAGTATAGTCTTTGGTTATATGCCTTCATTTCTCTTGGGTAGATGATACAATAAGTCATAAGAAATACATATTTCCCAGGTATATTTGGTCTTCATCCACAGTTCTTGACAGGTTCTTAAAGGTGAAGTGGGTATCTTGTCATGTTAATGAGAGACTGGGAGCCCACCCAAGGGCAGGGGCTGGAGGTTGAATCAGTGAATGGCCAGTGATTTAGTCAATTATCAGTATGCACTGAAACCCTCGATTTTGTGAGGGCTCTTGCTCTCTCAGATCCTGCTTCTCTATCAGAGAGCATCTAGGCATGGTTAACCAGAACACCCCCACATGCCACCGAGCCAGGCCTCAAGCTCCACGGACACTAGTCCCTTTATTTGGGACCTTGCCCGATGTATCTCTTCATCTGGATGTTAACTTGTATCCTTTATGGTATACTTTATTAAATTAGTAAACAGTGGGTGTTTTCCTGAGTTCTGTGAGCCGCTCTAGGAAATTAATCAAACCTAACGGGGAGGTCGTGGGAATGGGAACTTCCAATCTGTAGCCTGTAGGTCAGAAGCCCAGGGAACTGCCTGGGTCTTGCAACCGGTGTCCGGAGTCGGGGGTGGAGGGCAGTCTTGTAGGACAGAGCCCTTCAACTGGGAATCTGGTGCTGTCTCAGAGCAGATAGCATCAGAACTGGGTTGAAGTCTTAGACACCCTGGTGGTCGAGAATTGCTTAGTGTTGTATGTATAGGAAGACCCACCTCCCACCCCCACACGGAATTGAATCCAAGAACCCGAAAAGGGTTAAGTACATCATCGTGGTAGATTAACACACAAGTGGCATTGTGAGAGCCTATGCTGAATGCATATTTAACTTTCTAAGAAACTGCCAGACTTGTTTTCAAAGTGGCTGTGCCATTTTACATTCTAGCCAGCGGTGTTTGAGGGTTCCCTCTTTATACATGCTCTCTGCCATTTTTACCTGTTTTTCTGGTCTAATTTTATTATTTGTATGTTACCATAGATTGTGTTTCAGTTTTCGTGTAGATAGGGTTTTAAATTCATCTTTCCATAGTTTTTAATTGAGCTGACTCCTAAACAGAATATAGCCTGAAAATCTTTAGGTTTAAAAAAATGTTAAGGCCTTTCTTAGCCAAGTATAATATCAACTCCTGTATGTATTTTTACAAATATTTACAAAAGAAGTAGTCATAAGGTTGATTATAAATTAAATGAAACTCGCTAATGTTACTCAATTCTGCTATGACCTTACTAGTTTTTGTCTTCTAGCGATGTCTAATTCTGAATGGTGTGTTAAACAGTCTTATGGATTTGTTTGCTTTGTATATTTATGTTTTTTCATAGATGCAGATTGATGATATATCTTTTTTATCACATGCTTTTTAAAGTCATTAGCTTGTATACTTTTTAGATTGGGTTTTGATTTCCTTCATGGGAGTATTTTTAAGATTTTTATCATTTTTTTAATGGAAAATTTCTAATATATGCAAAAGTATGAACACTAGATTAATGAAATTTCTCTGCCTACCTCTTCCCACATACACAACAGTGTTAATAACTGTCGATCAGAACAAACGTGGCTAATGTTTGTTCTCAATTCTGTATCTTCCCAGCACTAAATACATTTACCCATGAGGGAAAGAACTGCATTAATATCAGTTAGTTTTGGGGTTCTCCCTAGGTAAATTTTGGGTTACTTTCTTAGCTGGCTGAGATTGCATATTGTTGTTAACACTGCAGATTTAACATTCAGACCCACCTCAGCCCCCTTCCAGGGCTCTGTGGTACACCAGAAAGCGGAAAACTGCATCATGCAGACTCTTTTGCAAATAGGGTTCTGTATGTGGCTTATCTTACCCCAAGCAGAGACTGCCAGTGCAGCCACAACAGGAAGCAGGGGCTGCGTGCACGGAAATAGGCTTTCGTAGCCTGCATCTTGGCAGAGGGATTTGGTTTTTCTGGAGCCACTCTGGTCTAGGTTCCTACTGGCTAAATCCCTAGCATGTTAGGTGGTCAGGTATGGATGACAATGGAGAATGGGATTTTTAAAGATACTGTCTTGGTATAATTGGGCTTTTCTCCCAGTTGTGTATGTCTTGGTTATGTACCATCCAAACTGGGTTCTTTAGTCCTTCTGGAAATCCCATTAGTTACCTTATACCTTGCAGTAAATGTTTTCTTCTTAAACTAGCAAAAAGAAAGAAAAAAATTACAAGCTTTTCAAATGTTATAAATTAAAATTTACTTTATTGAATATAAAGTGACCAGTAAAAAATAACCACAGACATACATATATATAAGATATCCATTAAAATATTGGGAAGTCTGATAGCACACGTACCAAATAACCATGGGTATCAGAATCACAAGCAATCAAATTAATTTTTCAATGGCCACAGCAAAACACCTAAGTCTTTGCCAGTGACCAAATTATACCAAATGTTGGAAAGAATGTGACTGCCTTTTGCTTGCAGTGGTAATTTCATGTCATTTAGTTTTATAAGAACATGTAAAATGATGGGTCTCAACCAAAAAGTTAGTCTCACCTGACCAGAAGGTACAGACCAGAATTCAGGAAACCAGTAGTTCACTAGTTCACAGTGAATCTTAAAAACCTTTTAATACCTTTATGTGAAAAATATAGTAAATATTTTCTCAAAGATGTATACATCCCTTAAAGTCCCATACTTGGAGAATCTTCTGTCATGCCTTTGTTCTAAACTTAAGTGTTTACTGTTTAAGAGCAAAGAAGATGTTCTGTGTGCAGCTTTGTCTTTATATAGTAAGTTCAAAATGTCTTTGGTAATTTTGCAAATCAGGCACTGAGCCTTATAGAGATTTTTATTTTCAATGGAAATAAACTTGAAGGTGAAAAATGCCTAAAATACTTAAATTTCCATATAACTTGCTGGTGATTATAACTGGACATTACTTTTTCCCAATACATTTACATCTTTAGGAAACTAAAAACTATAATTATTTTGATATTGTCTAATTATATATTGGTTTGTTGTACCCAAATTCAGTACCCAAATTGGATGTGTTGTGGTTTATGCTGGAGGATTTCTGTATCGCTACCCAGCTTGCTGTGCTGTGGCATGGCAGGCTAGTTCTTGTGGCATAGCTTAAGAAAATAACATTCTAAATATGTTCATTTTTTATGGTGTAAGAAAAAAAGATTAGCCATATCAATTGAATCCCTCTTGCCCCCTGAAACACTAGGATTCCATAGAGTACCACTGGCAATGTCAACTTAAATACTCCTTTCTGTTGTTTTTGAAAGGTCAGTCACAAGTGCATGTCTTTCCCTGAAGCTCTCAGTTACGGCTCTGTGGTCACCTGTCCGTCCGCATCGCCCCGTGCTGAGAAATGGATTAGCACCAATGTATACAGTGCAAGTTATTGCTTAATAAGTACTATTTTAGATTGGAACTTAATATTATGTTTAAGGTTTTTTTCTCTAAGGGCTATTTTTTACATAAAGTGGGGCAGCTTAACACTTCAACTTGGAGTCATGAGTGGACATGAGCACTGGTTGATCAGGAGTATATTTATGTCATTTCAGGACTTGGTGACATTTAAAGATGTAGCAGTAGACTTTTCCCATGAGGAGTGGGAGAGGCTGAACCCTGCTCAGAGAAGTTTGTACAGGAGTATGATGTTGGAGAACTATCAGAACCTGGCGTCACTGGGTGAGGATCTTTCCCTTCTGCATGATTCAGACTTACTTTAAAGACTTTACATTTTTGTATATTATTAAAACTTTTTTTCCCTACCGTGTGTAGGTCAGATGGCACCTGAAGAAAAAAGAGTATATTCAGGGATTGATGGAAATTTCAGATGTAGAGTCAGTGAATTTGATGTGAATCAGATGATCCGTAAGTGTGCCCTTTAGTTGGTTGGGAGCATGGACATGCTGTGGCTCTGGCCAGCCTGCTGCGCCGCCTTCTTGCCTCCGTCCTGTGGTATTGTCACCAGGTGGCAGCAGGTCCACTGAGAACATGGCTGGATTATTATAAATTCAGCATATTGCTTTTAAAATCTGTATATTTTTACTAACTTTCAGTAAGTGAACCAGTGAGCCACCAACCATGAAAATACCGCTCCAGTTGTTCTTAGCAATGCAGCTGTGGCCCCGCAGCCCTGGGGCCGCCTTGCCGGCTAGATTAGCTTTCTGTTCCCTAAAGGCCCCTGTTATGTTGCTTTTAGTTTACTGAGCTTCTTGAAACTACATGTATGTCTTTCACCAAATTTGAGACATTTTTCACCATTATTTCTTCAAATAATTTTTTCTGCTCTCTTCTCTTCTCCTGGGATTTCAGTTACAAGAATGTTAGAACCTTTGATATTTGTGTAGCTGTGGCTGTGTGCTGCTTAAAATCTTTTTTCTCTGTCGGGTTAAATAATTTCTCCTGATTTATCCTGAAGTTTACTAACTCTTCCCTTGTCCTCTTCAGTGTTGTGTTAAGCCTATGTGGTGAGTTTTTAAATCTCAGATACCCTATTTTGCAAATCTAGCTTTCCACTTGGTACTTGTTTGTAATTTCTAATTCTGTGCTGAGGAATTACAAGCACATTTTCCTTTACATTCTTCAGTAGAGATATAAAAGCTATTTTAAAATCCTGGTCTACTAATTCTAACATCTGTGCTATCACAGGTTGGAACTCCATTAACAGCATTTTTTTTTAACTCACTTTTTCCTCTTTCTAATTATACTCACTTTTTCCTCTTTCTAATTAATAAGAAATCCTAATGCATTGATTTTTTTTTCTGTATCATTAATCTACAATTACATGAGCGACATTTTGGTTACCAGACTCCCCCCATCACCAAGTCCCCACCACAAACCCCATGTAGAATCACAACTTATCTTCTCTGTGTTGTACAGCCCACCTGTGCCCCCCACAACTATATTATGTCAGCTAATCGTAATGCCCCTTTTCCCCCTTCTCCCTCCCTTCCCACCCATCCTCCCCAGTCCCTTTCCCTTTGGTCACTGTTAGTCCATTCTCAGGTTCTGTGATTCTGCTGCTGTTTTGTTCCTTCAGTTTTGCTTTGTTCTTATGCTCCACAGATGAGTGAAATCATTTGGTACTTGTCTTTCTCCGCCTGGCTTATTTCACTGAGCATAATACCCTCTAGCTCCATCCATGTTGTTGTAAATGGTAGGATCTGTTTTT